CTGCGGGGCAGAGGGACGTGGGGGGGGGGCAGTGCCAGCCCCAGCTGTATGGCACAGGGAGACCAGTGAGCCGGGCAGCGCTAGCCTCCACTGGACAGCTGTGGGGAGACATTAGGGGAGCGGCCCTGGGGGGAGCTGGGTCCATGGCCTGCGTTAGGGGAGTGGCCCTGGGAGGGAGTGGGTCCATGGCCCGCGTTAGGGGAGCGGCCCTGGGAAGCCGGGTCTGTGGCCCGTGTTAGGGGAGCGGCCCCGGGGGGGGGATCCATGGCCCGCGTCAGGGGAGTGGCCCTGGGAGGGCGGGGGGTCCGTGGCCCGTATCAGGGGAGCGGCCCCGGGAGCAGGCATCTGTGTAACCGGCGCTTGCACAAGGCTGCACTCTACCCCGTCGAGCGGCTGGACCAGCCCGCGGCCTGTGGGTGGAGTCCTCACTCCATGGACTCGGTGGCAAAGCTCCCGGCTTCGGTGGGGCCGGGGATTCCTGCTCCGAGTGCGCTGCCAGCTCCGAGCTGGCGGGGCTGGGGCGAGGCTCAGGCCTTCGGAGACGCAGGTCCTGGGGTCAGTCCCCCGACCACCCACCCAGGGATGTGCCGATGAGCTAATCCGTCTGGGTGGCTCAGCCCATGGGGAAGGGGGGATGACGGATGGACCTAGGGCCCCAGGGGGAAAGGAGCTGGGTGGGGTGGGCTCTGGATGGGTATAAATAGCGGGACTGGGGTGAAATCAGGGAAAGGGAAATGGATGCTGACAGTCAGCGGCCGGCCCCAGCAGTGGGAGCTGTGCCGTGGGACCAGTCACCCCAGCCCCAGACAGCACTGGGGGGAGCAGCGCGGTGTTGGCCCTGGGGAGGGCAGGGCCCAGGCCTTGTCTGCTAGTCGCAGAGGTGGCAGCACAAGCCCAGCCCTCTGCGGACTAGGGCTCAGCAGAGACAGGCGCTAACAGACCCAGCCCTGTGACCCTGCCGCCCCTCAGCCCTCACCCGTCACCCCGGCCTTTATTGTCACCCCGGCAGCTTTCGACGGCGACTACTGGCGCCTGCTGAACCCGGGCGAGTACGAGGTCACCGCCGCGGCCGAAGGCTACCACCCCGTCACCAGGACCTGCCGCGTCTCCTACGAGGACAACCCCACCCTCTGCGACTTCCAGCTCACCAAGACGCCCAAGCAGCGGCTGCGCGAGATCCTGGCCAAGGGGGGCAAGATCCCCAAGGACCTGATCCTGCGGCTCCGGCAGCTGCGGCTCCGCAAGCTGAGGGCCCAGCGGCAGGCCCAGTGAGGGGACTAACCCCTTCTGGACTGTGTGGGGACGTAGAAGAGGGATGTGCTCTGTGTGGCTCGCGGTCCCTCCCCCACACTCTCTAGTCTAGCGGCTTCTTGCTCCTCTGTGTTGTTTCGTGAGTCTGTAGCGGGGTGTGACTGCCGGCCCAGTGTCCTCCTGGGGCCTGTCCCTTCCTATCTCCTGCCCTGCCCTGCCCTTCCTGCTCTCCAGCCCGCAGCCCCTGGCTACGTTCCTTGGCAGTCCAGCCCAAAACCCTGCTTCTGAGCACCCAGATGCTCTGTTCGGGGGGGTGCCTGGGCGTGGCAAGAAGACAGCGGAAATCAGTGGCGCAGACAAAGCCGCAGGCGTGTTCCCTAGGGGCACAGGCAGCGGACAGACACCCGGGACGGGCTTTGCCAGCAGAAGAGGACTTTGTAACACCTCAAAGAGCAGCTTTCCCCCAGGAGGGTCTCAGCACGGCTGCTGCCGTCTTAGCCAGACCAGGGACCCCTGTTTAGTGGGTAGAGCCTTTGCCTAAGGATCCTGCAGGGCCCGGTCCAGCCACCCAACAGAGGCCTCTGCTAACTGGTTCCGTTCCGCTCTGCCTGGCCACCGCTTGGCAAATCCCCCAGGAGGAATCCCGGAGGCAGCAGTAACCACAAGGCATTTGGACAGCAGGCCCCGGGGCGTGCAGAAGAAAGGGGAAGGGCCTCAGGAATGTGAGCTGGTCCTGTGAGCTGGGCTCAAGCTGAGGGCCATGGCTCTCTGCTCCCGACTGCGATGGGCAAGGAAGGGTCTTGTCCTCTCTCTACCTGAATGTGGTGAGGTCAGAAGAGGGGGAAATCGCCCACCTGAGGGAGTTCAATCAGCTGTCCTGCCTTCATTTACACCAGTGAATCCGTTTCTTTGGGGGGTTACTGACACGTGGGTGGCAACCGCTGGGCTAACAAAGCAGTTGGCTCAGTCGTTGAGGGGATATAAGTCCGCGTGGATATTTCTGCTGTGAGCCTGCGATGGTTCTGTTGTGCAGTGTAGGGGAGGAATCACACACGTAATGAAAGGGGAACAGACTGGGGTGTGTTTGTGGTTGAGATCAAGAAACAGGCCAGGCAGTGCAGCACACTGTGTAGCGACGGGGGCGCCCCGTGACGATCCCCAAGAGCAGCGTTTGGCCCCGTGAAATGCCCTAAGTGGTGTCTATTCGAGTCTCCTGGGTGTGAGCGAGCGGCCGCCACTGATTCTTCGAAACATGCAGAGTCTGCATCTGAGACTCCAGGCTGGCCCTAAAAATAGCTCCTGGCACACAATGGGCATGACGCAAGCAGGACTGCGATTGCCTGGCACGGGGTCTGGCTGGGCAGGAATCCAGGGCAAACATACATCAGTCAGTCCGTACCAACCGTGATAGGGTGTGCGCTGGCTGGATTCCCTGATCCCTTGGGTGGAGGGATCCTGGTGCAGTCCGGGATAACCTTGATCCGCCCCGTTGGTAATGACAGCACAGTTCCCAAGGATGTGCCCTGTAGAATAGCCAGCACCCGCTCGTTTGGCGTTCCATCCTCCGACTTCACCGGACCACAGGTGACATCCGGGGGAGCCAATTCCTGGCCAGAGGGGTGGCCGTGGCACCCTCCCTGAAACCACCACCTGTGGCAGTCTCCTCAGGGCCAACACAAGAGATACCAGCAGCCTTCTCAGCTGCGAGGTGCCCCTCCAGGGCAGGGCAGAAGCACGTTAAGGGGACACAGGTCCTGATTTCGTATTGCGCCAGGTTCCCCGGGCATTACAATTAAAAGGCTGTTACTACAGAGCTAGCTGGCGCCTCGTCCGAGCCCCGACCCAGATCCTAGGCAGAGACGACTCCGCTTGGTGCAGTGAATGGTTCCTGTGGTTTCCGTTCCCCTCAGCCTTTGTTGTCAGGGGTACTTGTGTGAATACAGTTCCTCCCCAGGGCGACTCCAGTAAAGACACTGGAGTTACCCCAGGGATGACTTTAGCCTCAGCTCTTTGTTCTCCCAGAACCCCAGGTGAAGTCACACTCCTCTGCATGAGACGTCACAATTCTTTCCTTGGCACTGGCCTGTGATGTCACAGTCAGAGGTTGAGACTGTGCAAAACAGATGGGCTCCCAGGGCAAACGCAGTGTCCGCTGCATCCGCCAGGAGCTGTCGGTGGGTCTCAGCACCGCTCTAGGGTCAGGCCCTCAGCGAACAGAGGAGAGTGTCCAGGAACAGCCGCTGCCGAGGGCGTTCAGACGTTACTCAGAGCTTCCAGCGCTTCTGTGCAAGCCCAGGGCTAGTGGGCGCTTCGTTCTGCAGGCGGGACCTGACTGGAACAGGGCGTGTGAATAGCAGTGGAGCAATGCTCGCGGCTCCGACCGAACGGGGGCGGCGAGAAAGGGCCCACTGCTCGGGTGGGCACTCAGACTCAGCATGGGGAGCTGATGAGTTAGCGATACAATGCTGGCGGTCGGTGTCCTTGCTAGGCAAGTGACATCCTCGGGAGCAATAAACCTTCGCCGTTTTACCTTCCCGAGCGAGTGGCTGTGGGTTCCTTTCTCTTCATTTCACTGATTTCATTGTTAATTCGGTGGGGAACTGCGGGGGGCAGAGACTGGGTGTGTGCAAAGCCCCTTGCATGGGCCGCTCACAGCAGGGCCAAGGGGGCAGCCCTGTGGGGCGGGGAACAGGTGGGGGTGGGTGACCCCATGGCCCCCTCTAGCCCCTCCCTGCCTCTCGGGTTTCAGCCCTGCTGACAACTTTGGTGAATAGGCCACGCCCCTGGTGTTTAGGCCACGCCCACCGGCGGGAGGGGCTAGTCTAGGGGATTATGCTCCACCCCTTGGGGATCAGAGCCCGCCCCCTTTCCCAGCGTGAGGCCATGTGACATTAGGCCCCGCCTCTCTAAAGCGCGTCCTGACCCCTCGGGTAAGGCCACGCCCCCGCGCACGCCGCTCCCTCCCCGCCCAGCGCCCCGCTGGCCGCCTATTGGCTGGCGAGAGTTTGTGGGCGTGTCCCCAGAAGGAGCGCGTCCAATGAGCAACGGCTCCGGGCGGCATCACGTGGGTGCTCTGGGGGCCCCCGGAAGTGGCGTTGCCGAGCGAGGGAGCCCGGGGCGGACGGTGAGTGGGGGCGGAGGGGCCGGGCCAGGCGCCGCGGGGCGGGGGCTGGGCGTGCCCAGAGCGGGGCCCGGGATGGGGGCGGGGGGGCCGAGTGCACGTGCGGGGGTGCACGGGGGGGTTGCTGGGCGGAGGGTTGGGGGCGGGGTTGGGAGTGCACGGAGGGGGAGCCGGTGCACGGGGCTTCTGGGTGCACGGGGGGGTTGCTGGGGGGCTGAGTGCACGTACGGGAGGGCGGGGGCTGGGGTTGTATGGGGGGCTGGGTTGGAGGCGGGGCTGGGGGTGCACGGGGGGGCGGGGGGTTGGGGGTGCACGGGGAGGGTTGCTGGGGGGCCGAGTGCACGTGCGGGGGTGCACGGAGGGGGGAGGGGGTTGGGCGTGCACGGAGGAGGGGCTGGGCGGAGGGTTGGGGGCGGGGTTATGGGTGCACGTGGTGGGGGGGGTGTTGTGGGGCTGGGACCTGGGGGCTCCAGTACCGGGATTGTGGTTTCCAAACCCAACTGGGGAGAAGAGAAACATCCGCCCCCCCCGCCCCGAATCCCCTTTGGCTGTGGCCGCAGTCAGCCCCCCCCCCTGCCAGGGGTCCCCGAGGCACATTGCCTGTAGCGTGCCCTGTCCCCCCCCCCGCACACCCCTGCGTGGGCGAGCGGCGCCTGGCAGCGACCGCTCCCTTGGTGCAGCGTCCCTCAGCCAGGAGGTCACCGCAGCCGCCTCCCGCAGAGCCCAGCCGGGGTCCCGATCCCGGGACGCTGCAGCCACTGGTGCAGGCTCCTGCAGTGTCCTGTCCTGGGGCTTGAGGTGTCCCGCGGCTCGAAGGGCTTGGCAGGGCCTGTGCCCGTCCCGGGGTGTGACTGTACCACGTTGCTGGGGCGCTGCCAACAGCCAGCCCTGACCCACGCTGGGACCCCGCTGCAGCCGCCTGTCAGTGCGGGGGCGACTCCCAATAGCCCTGCGCTCCTGCCCCTCGGTCATACAGCGGGCTACACCCGGACACTTGCCCAGCGGCTAATAACACCGGGGCTCAGTTCATTCTCTCCTCTGTAGCGCACACAGGCGTGCCAGGCACTTCACAGAAAGCAGGCGGCCGGTTCCTGGGCTGAGGCGCTGAGCCGGCACTGGGGTCAGCATTGCAGAGCCTTGTGAGTCTGACTGAGGTCGCTGGAACTGTGCGTGGGTTCATGGGTCTGGTTGGGGCCTAAATGCTGTGGGATCCTTCCCTTTCAGTTGTAACCACTGCCTTACTATTGCATTAACAAGGGGCTGCTTATTTGCATTTCACTGCTGGTTTTTATTTAACGAGGTGGGGAAAGAGAACAATTAACTGAGCCCAGTTACAAAAAGACGCTCACACTCCACGAAGGTGAGTAACTGCAGTGTCAGGGCTGAGCCCTGGATAGCTTCCCGGATAGCTTCTGGTCAGTGAAATGTGCCGCACAGGCTGCAGCTCCAGACAGATTCTCCTGAGCATGTGGAGATTATTTTGAATCTCCTGTATTTTTGTCCCCCGGCGGATTTTTCCCAGCCTGAGTGGTGGCTGCACTCCAGAACGAACCCCCGTTATGGGCCAGCTCTCACCTCTCTGGGTGGAAAGCCACTGGCGGCTTTGTAAGGTGTGGGGGAAGGAGCTGAGCTCAAGCGTGGAGACCTGTAGGAAGCCACGTGGGAGTGAGATCCAGAGGTAGGGGGCTTCTTGCTTGGGGAGGTCTTGCAACCTTAACTGTGATACTTGCAAACTCCCATCATAAGAATGCAGGTTTGAGCCTGGCTTATGTTCTACTTCTAGGCATTACTAGAGCACTGGTTGCTGCCCCACCTAGGCCCCTGCAGTGGGGAAGGAGCTCTAGCTGATCAGGTGGGGTTTTATTTTGCTGTGATGGGAGGCCAGGAGCCTCCTGGAATTTTTCCCCTGCTCTCCCCCCTCCCCAGGCTTCGTTCTCTGGCTCTGTGTTGTGGCTGTGTGCTCCTTCTCTCCCAAGGTGACCCCACCCACTCTGTCCCGAGCCTCGGCCAGAGGGCAGCTGTCACTCGAACCATGGGAGGTGCTAATATAACCCTCTTTGCACCTGCAGCACATTCGGCCCTGGGGCAAACGAGAGAGCAAAGGATGAGCTCGGGTCCTGGAGAACGTGGATCCCCATTGGGATCACGCTGCCTGTAGCCCACCTGGGTGTTCTGGAGTAGGAAGTTTTAGGGCAGGGGTAGTCAATAGGCAGACCGCAGGCCAAATCTGGACAGCCAGGCGCTTCTGAACGGACCACAAAGGTCAAAGGGGCTGAAGCAGAGCCGGGGCTGTGTGTGGAGCTGGGCCCACTCCCCAGCGCAGAGCCCCACAGCCGGGAGCAGGCGGCTGGGCCGGGTTGCAGGGTGCAGTGTCCCCAGGTGGCTGCCCCCACCAGCTCTCTCGGCCGGCCGGCAACAGCGCAGGCACTGGCATCCGGGCCCAGTGAGTGGGGCAGCGGGAGCCTCTCCAGGTGGGCAGTTGGGGGGAGCTGAGTGGGGGGCAATTGGGGGGTTATATTCCTGATGTCTCGATCCTGCAATGGGGAAAGTCTGAGGCTGGCTCTGACTCTGAGGAATGAGCAGCTGCTTTTCTCTGTCACTTCAGTCACCCTCCCATTCCCTCTGCTCATTGGCCTATTCACCCCCCCCCCCCCCCCCCCCCCTGTCCCCCACTCTGTTCTGTTCTGGTGGGGGCAGAGTGAGAGTTTGTCAGGATCACACTGTGTCCGTTTTACCCCCAGCCCCATGTGAGAGGAGAGGAACTGTAGCTGCAATCCATTGCCTTTCCCAGTTCAGATACAAATCGGGGGCATAACAGGTAAAACTGAAAGCTATTTGGTTACTGGTAGCCCAGAAACCTGCCCTCACTGAGAGCTTCCTCTTGCACCAGTGACGTCCATGGGAGTTTTTCCATGGACTTTAAAGGGAGCCGGATCCGAGTAGGGCGCTGTGAAACGTTCTGTTTTGACAGGAGCGTGACCACGTCTGAATAAATGGTGGCAGATCAGATTTGATGCAGTTAGCTCAGATGATTTGGATCTTGTGCCTGGAGTTGGGATCAGCCTGGGGTTTAATAGATGCGTAGCAGATAAAATAATGTCCTAAAGGAAAATAAAATAGAAATGTCATAAATAACAGGGAACAATACAGGAAAACATTTGAACTGGTAGACAAATTTTTGAACCAAGGTTTATTAATGGAAAAGTGGGCTTCTCTGGGAAATGGAAAAAGTGAAAGTTGTTTTTTTTCAACTTTGCAATTTATTTTTTCAAAATTTTGCTATAAACATTAATGATGGGGTTATGAAAAATGTTTGTTTACTGAAAACCCAGTTTTTCATTAAGTGAAAACATTTCTGGGCTGTGTTTTGGTTTTAAAACCAATCACAAAAATAGCCAGAAATTGTTCGATTTCAGAGCTGGTGAAATGGAGACAACTTTGATTTTTTGTCACCAATTTTGTTTTTAAATTGTCAACCAACTCTTGAGAAAATAAAGTAGCAAAAAACCCAACTAAAATAATAATGTGGGAATAATATAATAAAATTACAATAAAAAGAAGAATGGCGTCTAATCCTATGATACAATAATGTAACACAAAGTAGATTAAATAAAGGCCTGATCCTGAATACACTTTTTGCCTCGGGCCCCAATCCTGCAAATACTTCTGCCCATGCTTAACTTTACTGTCCTGAAATCAAGGGGACTTCAAGGTAGTAAAGTTGAGCACAAAAGTGTTTGTAGAATTGGGTGCTAACTTAATAATATTGGCCGTAATCCTGCAAAGACATGAGCATATGCTTCATGTATACACGCTGAATAGTCCCATTGCTTCAGCGAAGCTACCCGCAGCGTGTAAAGCTGATCACACGTGTGCATCTTTGCAGCATAAGGGCCATTGTCTAGTCTAGCCCCCCTTCCCTCTCCCCTTCTTCCGTCCTTTGAAGCCCTGTCCTGTGACCGTAGCAGAGAAATGCATCGGTCGGTCGGTAGTTGTGATCAGGAGTGTCAATGTCCTCGAGAACTGACTGTATCCCGTGGTGTACAGCTTCAGCAGCCTGCCGGTTTGAATGTATTCCCTCAGGACTGACCAAGCAAAATCCCTCCCAGTACGCCGACCCCCGAGCGGGTTGGTTTTATTTCTCATTTAATGCTCTGAAACTCTAAGCAATGGCCACAGGCTGTATCGCCCAGCACTGAATGTGTTTGTTGAACAGCGGCGCTTGCAGTGTGAAGTCTGGACCTTGACCCAGAACTTTGGACCTTGACACAAACGAATTGAGGACCCCGCTTTAGTGTGTGCGAACGTGGGCAGGGAAGCGGGCAGCTGGGGGTGCTGCTGTGGGGGGATGAAAAGGAGGCTGGTACTGGGGTGGCGCTGAGCCGGTGTCCTGCGTCCCTGTCTCTGTTCTGTTGCTGCGTCTGTCACTGTCTCGCTTTGGCCCGTTCACCTCAACCCTGCCTCAGTTTCCCCATCTGTGAGGAGGAGGCGATAGTTCCCTGCCTCCGCGGCTGTGGGGCCCTCGGGCGCTGTGCGGATGGGTCAGAGGGAAGCCTGGAAGTAGGCAGTGCAGTGATGTGGGACTCACGCCCCCGGGATCTCGGCCTGCTCCTGACACTGACCTGCAGCGCGACCTTGAACGAGTCACTTCCCTTCTCTGGGTCTCTCTTTTCCCCCTGACCCGGAGTCTGTTTAAACTGTCAGCGCTTTGGGACTCGTAATGTAGGTCCATGCGCAGCGTTTAGCAGTGTGAGGCCCTGGTCTCAGATGGGGCTCTAGGAGCTACACCCGCTAGTGCTCGCAGCCCCTCTGAGGGAGAGGTGACTACATGCACCTTTCGTCTAGCTGGGGAAACTGAGGCACGAGAGGGGGGGCAATGGCTTGCCTGAGGCCAGAGAGGGAGCTGATGGCTTGCAGGCCTGTGCTCATTGCTGTGCTGAGCTGCTCTCTCCTCTCTCTCCAGGGCGCCATGGCGGACTATCGGATCCGCGAGTACAGAGACGAGGACTACGAGGCGGTGCGCGAGATGTTTGCCACTGGGATGAGCGAGTACGTCCCCGCCCTGTGCGTGCACGTGCTAAAGCAGCCCTGGGTGATCCTGGTACTGGCCTGCACCTTCTGTGTTCTGCTCACCAGCTCCAAGTCCCTCCTGCTGCCCATCCTGGCCGTCACGCTGCTACTGGCTATGGGGCGGCAGCTGCTCGGCTACTTCTGGACCATGTATATCGAGCACTGCTTAAAGGAGGACCTGCTGGACATCAGGACGACCTACATGGGTAGCAAGGGCTCCTGCTTCTGGGTGGCAGAAGCGGATGAGTGTGTGGTGGGCACCGTGGCTGCCAGGCCGTCTGACGAGCAGGAGGGGGAGCTGATGCTGAAGCGGATGTCGGTGCGGAAGGACTACCGGGGGCTGGGTGTCGCCAAGGCGCTCTGCCAGGCGGTGATCTGCTTCGCCCAGCAGCAGGGCTGCCGCGCCGTGGTGCTGAACACCCTGATGGTGCAGGACGAGGCCCGCCTGATGTACGAGCGTGTGGGCTTCGAGAAGTACCGTGACGACGTGCTGCCCACCGTCTACGGGAGACTGGCCAACGTCACCATCTCCAAGTACAGGTACGGCGTCCCCCGCAGGAGCTGACGCGGGAGCGGACTCCGCGCTGCTGCCAAGGGCTGGAACCAGTATCTCCTCCTATTCCCTCGCCCCGGAGCATACAGAGCGCAGAGGGTGAGACGCAGCTGACCGGTCACCTTGCAGAGCGCTGGCCTGAAAAAAAGTGGTGTCTTGCTCTTGCTGGCCTATGCTACCGATGTCTGATTGCTCTGTGCAGTGAGGGAGAGCCGACCGGATCTGCTTTGGCCTGTTGCCTGGCTGCCTTCTCGATGCGCAGATGGTGTGTGCTGGCCTGACAGACCCCACTGACATTGTCCCGCTGACCTCCGGCCTTGTCTGCACCAAGGGCTGGGAGCTGGGCGGCCGGAGCTGGGCCTGGTGCGTTTGAGGCCTTTTCAGTACGCTGCCTTGACGCAGCAGTTCAGACTGGTTCCTCAGGTTGAGCGCGTTGGGCTCCAGGTAGTCTACGTGCACAGGAAACTCGCCCAGCCTCGGCAGGGAGGTTTCCATGCTCATCACTGGGACGGGATGACTCTGGGGGGTGGGTCATGTTGAGATGCTGGTAAGTCACTGGTTCAAACCCAGGTCACTTGGTTGGATTCAACACCATTCCCACGTGCATTGTGTTCTTTCAGTGGCCTTTGAGGAGACCAAGTGGTCTTGGAGCGGGGTATCACACCTGGATCTAACTGGATGGGGTGTCGTCGTCAGCGTCAGAAGCCCTAGAGTGAGTGGGCCATGGGGACTGAAGTCCCCTCCTGTTTGGAGGAACCTCTTTGTAACCAAAACCTGTCTCCACCCCTGTCCATCCAGCCCTTCTTCCTAGCATTAAATCCACCTAGAAATCTGACCAGGCATTTGTGTCATTCTCCCCAGCAGTCTGCTGCGGGCTGGTGTCCCTCCATCCGGCACTTAGTTGAGCATGCTGCCTAGGCAGCGGCTCCGGGAGCTGGGAGGCCCAGCTCTGGGCCCGTGCTGTGTTGCTGTAGTGTTGGTGTTGTGGAACTCTGGTGAATAAAGAAATTGCTGCATCGCTTTCTGATGCAAGTGTCTCTCTTCTGCGCCCTACTACCGTCGCCCCCCTCTGCCTTGGGTGAAGCGTAAGAAGAGCCCAGAGAGTGGAAACTTCTTGTAACGGGTTGTGTGTGCGATATGTAACACCACAACGAGCGGCAACAGGGTGAATAGCACATCCCCTTCTCGTAGGGCATAAACAAGAGAACAGCCACTGTCATGGAAAGGCAACGCAGTTAAATCTGCTTGGGAAAGTATTTCCTCTTAGTGTGCAGTTAGCCTGTGGAACTCGTTGCCACTAGATAGACTGGATGGTCCGAACGGTCCTGTCTGGCCTTGGAATCTCCCTAGGAAGCTCTAAGTATCATTGAGGCCACAGGCTCATCAGGGATCAAAAAGGGCTTGGCCCCGTAGGGATAAGGAGAGCAGCCAGTGTGACAATATGTATATCACTAGCTGCTGCGACCGACACACACTTCCCCATTACTGCTACAGCAGGAAACCCCAGATGCAGCGCATTTGGAGTTGCCTGGGATGCAACTTCTGCATGTTTCACACAGCCCCAAAGTCCCTTCCCCACAACCAGCTCTGGGCACGCTCAGACCCACTGGTCCTGCCAGGCTCTCAGCCCCTGGTGCAAGACTCTCCCCCAACTCAAGTGATTCGGGTGCTGGGAATTTCTCTGTCTGGCTCTTCCCTGGTTTTTCCCCCTGATCTTTCTCTCTTCTCTGGCATTTTCTGCCCTTGAGTTACCCAGCGGGCAGACAGCTCTCCTGTCCCTCCCAAGGGGAACTCGCCCAGCTGCGTAGTGCAGGGCCGTCCTTTATCACTCCTGCGGCCCCTCTCCTCCTGTCAACCTCTGTCTTTAGTTTAGAGGTGACGGTGGCTTAACTTTACAGGTAAGACTAAGATCCCAGATTGCCACCCTGCAGAGGAGCGTCTGCTCCAGCCAGCTCTCTGGAGAGGGCAGCCTCTGCTCGACAGAAGCAGTGAGCTAGATGGGGCAGGAAGCAGGAGAGTTACGCCAGCCCTGCAAACCTGGCCAGGAGACACTAAGGTGCCGCTCAGTTGCTTGTGTAGAACGGCAGTGTTTTCCCGCAGCTGGGTGGTTACGTCCTTGGGGGCGATGATACAAACACCGAAGGGGCCCGATTCATGGCGGCGTGTGGGATTGCAGTCAAACTTCCTCATCATCTGATAGCGGGATGAAGTTAAGGGGCAGAGCTCTCACCAGTGGCTCTGTTTGCTCTCCCCCTTTCCCTGAGCAGCAGCGTG